ATTTGTTTCGGGTGCACAACGCAGTGATTCAACGTGTTTATACATGATAGCTACGCTCACTGCAAGGGTAGCTACCGTCTGAGCAGGTGCTTAATGTGTGACCTGTGTCTGTGGCCAGCTAGCCGGAGGGTAGCTGAGGGTCCTAAGGATGAGCCAGAAGTGGGGACTTCCGTTTTCTGCCCCAAGGAGCATCATTTTGTACCTATGGTTATTGTAGCCATGTGGTTGTTCCCGCTTGCTTGGACTGTGGCTGCCGTCACCTGGCTGGTCCCCCTGACCGCAGGCTCCCCTTCTCCCGCTGTCCTCCAGGTTCTGGCACTGCCTGGTCTTCCCCGGGTACCGGCTCTAATGGGAGAAAAGCACAGCGTTGTTGCCCCACCAGCTCTGCTCTGCGACTTGCCTCCGCCGGGGCCTCACGATGACCTGGCCGTGCAGAGGTTCACACTCTGACCAGACCCACCCCAGACCTCTGCTTGTGCCTGGGATGCCCTGCCTCCCCTCTGCATATCGACATCCTATCTATCCTGGCTCACATGCTCCCCGCTGCATGCCAGAAAGTACCCCCCGTGCTTTCCCCAGACCTTCTCCTGGTTGGGCAAGATTCCCTCTTCTAAGCTGCTGTTGTGAAGTTTGAAAGGAAAGAAGGTGAATGCTCCCGGGGTGTCGTGTCGGTGGTGAATTTAAGCAGGGAGATGAAGCAGGAGGTTGGAGCCTCCAGACCCGGAGAAGCCAGCAGCAGGTGGGACTCAGTGAGCCCTACGGACAAGGCCTCCTTCTCTGCACCATGGCTCCTGAGAAGTGAAAATGAAACTCAGCTGACAAGGGCCTCGAAAACAAGAGAGACAGAGGCCAAAATGGGAGGGCAGGTCACGTAGGCAGAGGGTCCTGGGCTGGAAGGCAGGACGCCCGTTTGGGAGCCCGCCCCCCGCCACCCCCCCCCCCCCCCCCGCCTTCCTGAGGCTCCGTCTCCTCACATGTAAAATGCAGACATTTGCACCCACCTGTGAGCTTCACAGGATCGTCAGGAGGGTTAAATGAGATTTTGGATGCCAGGGAGGCTCTGGCGGCCGGTCTCAGATCATGGTCATCATTGCTGAGCATTTACTGTGCACCAGGCACTCTGTGTAGCACTCATTCAGTCTTTACAATGACCAGATCAGGGGCATCTGTTAGTTGCCCCTACTTTACTGAGGAGGACACTGAGGCATGAAGAGGCTGCATGATCTTAACTCTGCCGAAGATCACAGAGTTCAGAAGAGGCCGACTCGGGATTTAAACCCAGGCAGTTTGGCTCCAGAGCCCTTGCTCCCAGCCTCTGTGCCAAACTGACTTGAGGGTTCAGTGGTAGCACGCGGGCTTGAACCTAGGCAGTGTGCTGCTTCCCAGCTGTCTTTGGGGCCAGGCGAGGCCAGGTTTATAGACGGGCAGCTTCCTGGGTGGTTGAGGACCCGGCCTCCCCACATCTCATGGGCTGAGGGCTCCCTACACTAGTTTTCTGAGTGGCACCTCGGAGCATCCCAGAGACAGAGCATGAGTGGGGGAGGCTGACCACGCCCACAGGTCAGCCTCATGCCCCAAGATGGTCAAGCTCCCCTCCCCCAGAATGCTCACTCTCCCAGGGCATCTCACAGAGCAGGGCTTGCCGAAGACGCCCACCGTGCCCCTACTCAACAGACCGGCAGGGGGTCCCTCGGGGTTCACATCTTCTGCTGAGGAGCAGGATAGTGTGGTGAGTGGAACCTGACAGTGGATCACATAAACTGGCCTGAATCCTGGCCGTCAGTACTAATAACAGACGGGAGCCACCATCTGTGTCCCTAGTTGACCAGGGAGTACCTATTCAGCCATTCAACAAATAGTTCTCAGGGGCACCTGGGTGGCTCAGTCGGTTAAGTGTCTGACTGCAGCTTAGGTCATGATCTCACGGTTTGTGGGTTCGAGCCCCGCGTTGGGCTCTGTGCTGACAGCTCAGCCTGGAGCCTGCTTCGGATTCTGTGTCTCCCTCTCTGTCTGTCCCTCCCCCACTCACGTTCTATCTCTCTCTCAGAAATAATATAAATAAACATTAAAAAAAATTTTAGGGGCGCCTGGGTGGCTCAGTCAGTTGAGTGTCTGACTTCAGCGCAGGTCGTGATCTCACAGTTCGTGGGTTCAAGCCCAGCATCGGCCTCCGTGCTGACAGCTCAGAGCCTGGAGCCTGCTTCGGATTCTGTGTCTCCCTCTCTTTCTGCCCCTCCCCTGCTTGCACTCTCTCTATTTCTCTCAAAAATAAATAAACATTAAAAAAAACAAAACAAATAGTTTCCAATGCCTGCTAGATGCCAGGCCTTGTACTAGACATTGGGATGGAGACATGAATTTGACAGACAAAACTCCTGCCCCCATGGAGCTTACCTCGTACTGGAGGAGGCAGAATTAAAAAGATAAGCACAAAAAACAAGATATGTTGGATTGTGATCAGTTCTATGGGGGAAAAAAAATAAAGCAGGAAAGAGGGATCAGGTGGGAGGAGTTACCATTTTAAATTCAGCGGTCTGGGTGCACCTGGGTGGCTCAGTCGGTTGAGCGTCCGGCTTCGGCTCAGGCCATGATCTCACAGTTTGTGAGTTCGAGCCCCACGTCGGCCTCTGTGCTGACAGCTCAGAGCCTGGAGCCTGTTTCAGATTCTGTGTCTCCCTCTCTCTCTGCTCCTCCCCTGCTCGTGCTCTGTCTCTGTCTCTGTCTCTCTCTCAAAAATAAACAAACATTAAAAAAACATTAAAAAAAAATAAATTCAGTGGTCTGGAGATAAAATTGAAAAAGCCTAGAAGGCAGTGAGGGAGAGAGTTGTGCAGACATATGTGCAAGACTGTTGTGTTACAGGTAGAGGCAGGCGAGTTAGCAGTGATTCATGGAACACGGACTGTCTTCGGTGGCTGGGGCATCACGCAGGGGGCGGGGTACGGGGGGAGGCAGCACACAGGTGTAGAGAGGAACCACACCCAGACCTGCAGGGCAGACACTTCCGCATCACAGGAAACTCCCATGTAAGTGCTGTGGGAAACTGCGTGCATCTGAAGAGGCAGCTTCCCAGAGAAAGAGGTATCAGAGAGCCAATTTGGGGACAGGGTGGAGGTGGTGGGGGGTGCAGGGCAGATAACACAGACACAGTAAACTCTGGCCGAATGAACCCAAGACCTGCACTCCCGGGGGCTGGAGATCCAGGAGGCTTCCCGGAAGAGGTGGCCTTGGAGCTGAGCTGGCCGGCAGGCATGATGCTGCTGGATGGAGAAGCAGAGACAGCCTTTGCCAGCAGATGCCCTGGGCCCAGGCGCAACACTGTCAGGAAGTGCCTCTGATGGGGCAGCCTGGAGCCCTGAGGGGAGGGTGGCTGTCCCCCTTCTCCAGGCTGCTCGGTCTCTCTGATCCCCCACCCTGCCCCCTAGGAGGAGGAGGAGGCACTGATGGATATGCGGAGGCTGGGCTGCTGCGGCCCAGCACTGTCACCATGCTCTCCCTCCCTACGCCGGAACCTGACACGCTGACCACTGAGGCATAAAAAACAGAGAATTGGAAGGCTCAGCCTGTCAGGCTGGGAGTGGCCCCCAGAGAGGCCTGAGGAGGAGCACGTGTGTGTGTGTGTGTGTGTGTGTGTGTGTGTGTGTGTGTGTGTGTCTGTCGCACGCTCTGCCTGTGGTTGCCTGTAGAAATGGGGAGGAGGCTAGCTGGGCCCAAGGGGTGGGAGCGGCTGGCCCCTCAGGCCTCCTTTATTGTTCCTGCCCAACCTGGTGGAGCCCCCAGGGACCCTACATCTGGGCCTGGCTGCTGGGGAAAGAGCAGTGCTCCAGGTCCTGACTTCTGGTTGGTCCTTCTGGAGGCCCCTGCCCTTTGGCCCTTTGGCGTCCTTGAGAAGACTCCATGGAAGCATGTTTGGGCCCAGGGTGGTCTCACGGGGCTGTGTAACTCCCATCACCACTGCCAGGGAGGGGTGCACAACTCTGTAACCAGTGGCTTAAAAAGCCAGTCAACGGCCAGCTACCAACAGCCTGGGCCAGGCATTGAGGTCTCTGCTATGCATCAGGCCCAAACCAGGCCCTCTGGAGTCCCAGCCACAGGGACAAGACGTGCAGGGCCCTCCTGCTACAGAGCCAGGACAGCAAGGTTTGAGGGCAGGGATTTTGAACTCCTTTCCTATGACTGGCTGGTGGTAAACAGGCTCTTGTGGGGCTGAAGAAAGAGCACAGGGAAGGGCTGGATGCAAGAACCCCTGCCCCATGAGCAGCTGGGTAAGAGTGAGCTGTCCTCCAGGCCTGCTATGCCCTTTTCCCCAGCGCTGCCCGCCCCCCTGCCCCCCGGCCCAGCTTGTAGTTCCTGCCTGAGCACACCTTTCCAGTGCCTGCAAGGCCCCCACCCACTCCCCCTTCTGTGCTCCCCAGCCCTCTGGCTTGTCCCTTCATCTCAGTCAAGTGCCATCTGCCTTCTCCTGGCTTTGGGTCTCAGTTTGTGTCTCATCCTCCCCATTAGACCAAGGCCCAAGGAGAAGCCACCTCTAGGTTTACCACACAGAGGGCCAGACTACAGTTGAGGTCACCTTTGGCTTCTGAGTTCAGAGCCACTCGGGAAACACATGGGAAGTGAAATCGAATCCACACTGGGGCACTGGAGTGCCCCAGTCAGGGCTGAGAACCAGGCAGCCTGGAGCTTTGAACTTAGGTCAAAGTCATTTTGTGAGAGACCCTTTCACCTGTAAAATGGTCCAATAACCCCAGGGAACACCTGGCTCATAGTAGTTTCACGGTACATATGTTAGAGGCCAGTATGTACTCCCACTGCTGAGAAAAATGTTATGGGGGAAATACAATACCAATGATAGTTGTCCACTGAGTCAGGATGTGGACCAGACTTGCCTTTATTGGTTACAAAAAATACCTGCCGTTTACGTAAGAGGCACATGCCATTGGCATTTTCCAAACCTGATTTGACATTTGGTTCCTGTTTCTCTCCCCACCCACCACATACAGGGAGTGAGTTTTCCGGGAGCCCCTACAGCCACCCTCAGTATCCCTCATACAACGACTCCTGGAGGTTCCCCAACCCGGGGCTGCTTGGTGAGTACTGGTAGAGGCCCTATGGGGCCCCTGGGTCATCAGCTGCCCCATTAGGACTCCTCTTTGGGCCAGGGTCCTTGACAGCCTGAGTTTTGGTCACTGATTGGGGGTGGATAGTCTGGGGGTTGTGATGGGAGCTTCAGACAGTAAACACACTGCAGCCCACCATGTACCCTTATCCCTCCCCCAGAGGTTTTGGTGGATAAGGGAAAATGGCAGAGAAGGGAAACAGAAAAAAGGGCATTGAAGAAATGAAAGGAATGTAGAAAAATTGCCTGCCCAAGAGTAACATATTTCTTAAGAATCATTGAATATTCCAGTGAGAAATTTCTAAGTAAGAGGCAGTGAGGAGGCCGACTTGGATTGATTGGTAGTGGCTACCCATCTTGATAAGGACTCTGAGGCTTAGTGATTGATTAGTGATGTCTGCCATGGACATCAGCAGAGCCAGCTCCATTTGGAAACTGATTGCCCTGTGGCTGAAGGCCTTCCAAGTCATGCCATTCTGAGCTCAGTTGGAGCCCAGATTATCCATTGCTGGGGCCAGCCTGATCTGTGTACATCATCAAGGATATCTGGCCACTCCAAAGATCAAGCAGGGGTAACTCAGCCCTCAAAAAGCCAAGGAGAGCCTTTTGTTTTGTTGAAATTAACTTACATGAAACCAGCTGGCGAGTGATAATGGGAGCTCAAGTTTCTGGAGCATGAAACCAGGGCCCAGGGCTGACAGATGTCACTCACCACGTGGGGGCAGCGCTAGCCAATGAGCCTGCAAGTGACAACACTAATCCTGCCCCAGCAGTCAGCTGAGGAATTCTACACAGGTCAGGAAGAGCCTCAGAGACCATCCAGGTCTGTCCGTCCAGCTTACTAAGGCCTGCTTAAGTCAGAACCTATTAATTCCTGGATCCTAAATTATTTTAGGACTGGAAAACAGACTTCATCAAGAAAGCAAGAACCTGGTACCTTCAGACTCAAATTGCCAGGTCATGGGTCTTTGAAGGAGGCCTTGAAGTCACGATCGTGATTAGGCGATTAGGACAGACACGTGACATAGACACATAGACCACCCTCTCATGTACTTGGGCCTCAGGCTGCCCAAAGCATTTTGGCATATTATGCAAAACTTGTGGGTACAATAAAGAACAGTGCCGGTTAGTACTCCAGATCCCTATGTCTGGCGATGTCACTCATAGAAGACCAGGGTCTTTTTTATGGCCTCCCAGAGGGGCTCATCTGTGGACTATGTCTCAGACTTCTTTTTTGGTTTTGGTAAAAATTAATTCTAAGTATGGAGCCATGTCTCCACTTACCTAATGCTTTTCCTTAAACAAACCCCCTGAGAGACCTGGGTCTCAGCCTCAGGCCCAGCTGTCAGTCTCAGGAGGCAAGGGCTAACCATGGTCTCCCTGAACCAGGATTCTAGCAGGGGTAGGGGCAGAGGGATGGGTCTGGAGCCCAAGAGGATGGCAAGGGGAGGGTGGGACTAGACCGCATCTGAGGCCTTAGCTGCTCAAGCTCAAGTGAAATCCAGTTCACATCCCCAGTTACCAGGCACGGGCTGTGTTTCTGGTATGGAAAGGATGTAGACTCTGTGTCAGGTCGCTCCCAGGCTGGAGGTGAGGGAGCCTCAGGCAAGTGTGTCTGTGCTGGGAGGTGCTTAGTGCCTTGAGAGGGACCAGAACCAGCATGGAGAGAAGGAAGACGAAACAAAATCCTGTCCATCTAAATGAGTACCTGATAATTGTGTGGACACCAGGCAAAAACTCTTCATGTGGGTTACATTATTTTATCATTTCAGCAGCCCAAGGGAGCGCATACTACTATCTCATCACATACATATGAAGGCAGTGAGACTCAGAAAGGTTAATTAGCTTACCCGAGGTCACACAGCATGCAGCTTGCAGAATGAGGTCTCAGACTCAGGTTACGCGGAGCCCAGAGCCTATTTTCGTAACCAGTGTGTGATGTGGCGCTCTCATCCCCTGAGCAGTTACGTCCCAACGGTACTTCAGCCTCATCCCTCCATAGGAAGCTTTGCGGGTCCTAAATACAGACTATGTATGTGATGAGAATAGCTCTGGTCAATTTTTGAAAGCCATGTTATTGTATTCACCTGTCAGAATTTCAGTTGCAAACAACAGAATCCACTCTGGCTAGTTTAAGCAGAAAACCAATTTGTTGAGGGATATCGTGAGCTTCCAGAATCTCCAGGAGGACCAAAGAGACACGGGTCGGGACACACAGCCAGGAACAACACGCAGCCACACTCCCAGGGCCGCTCTAGCCTCCTGGTGCTGCCAGTTGGCCCTGTGCTCTATGCTGCTGCACTAGCCAGGCTGCTGGGCGATCCGAGCAGATCGAGTCCCTCAGCCCACTCGCCTCCTCGGGCTGCTCCCTTTCCAGTCAAAACCATTTGCCAGGGAGTCTAAATGGCAGAGCCTAGGTGATATACCTGTGCCCTAGCAGCACACGACTGGGAGAACGAGTTCTGACTTCTAGCTCGAAGAGGCAGGCCTCATACCACAGGAGACCCTGCAGATACAGGAAAAGCTTAAACAATGTTGGGCAGTTACAGACGTGAGAGGTGGCCCCTGCACCATCCAGCTCTATGACCTGGGGAATCACAGTCAGGTCATCAACCAGTCTGGGCCTCAGCTGCCTCAGGTGTAAAGTGAGGGTGATTGCCAGTGGCAGCTTCATTCAAGCAAGGAGCTGATATGATGCTCTCTTGAGGCCCGCAGCCCTGAATGAGCAGGGATCCCACTTTCCTGAAGATGGGTGAGATGCCAGGTTCCCTCTACCATAGTCTTGCAAATAAGCTCCAGGCCCACTCACATCTCCCAGATTTCCCTTTACCCAGAGCGTCTTCAGGGCTTTAAGCTGAAAGAATCCCACTGCACCAGGGAGCTAGACTATTTCTGGGGAGGGCACCAGGGGTGTGGAAACTTGTTCCGCGGTTCCATGGTGCTCCTGCTAGATCCATGGGAGCTGTGGAAACAGGTGAGACCCTACACACATACACACACACACGCACACGCACTCACACCCTTGCCCACACTGTCCAACCTTGGCCAGCCTGGTTGAAGCCCCCTTCACAGAAACACCACCAAAGTGGAGGGACAGTGCTGCCTAATGAAGCTGCACACTGACTGCTCAGGTGAACTTCCCTCCCCACTGAGCCTCCTCTGCAGGAACTGCCTGTAGGTTGTCCACACAAGGCCCAGCCAGGGCACGGTGATCAGGCTGGGAAGGCACAGAGGCAGGCCGTGGGGAAGAAAGCGGTGGTCAATTAGGATTAGAATGGGGTGTGCCTGTGGCCACTCTAAGGGGATGAGAGGGTGAGCAGGAGCCTGGAATGATTGTGCCAAGAAGTAAATTGATGATAATGAGAATTAGGAAAAATGACAGAAGAAAAGGACAAGTTTATTCTAGAAGGAGGTCTAATGGGCACCAGAAAGACAGAGTGCTTTGTAAGGTGCTGTTTTTATTTCTTATGGTAAATGCAAGCAGTTTTGATTTCGCAGGACAGGCTGGCCAAGAGATTAGGCTTCGAGAAGGGAGTGAGTCAGAGCCGAGGGTGAGAGGTGGCCAGTGGGGAGCTCAGAGGGCTGAGCCAGGATTGTCCAAGAAGACTTACTTCCATTTCCTGTCCCTCGAGGCCCATTTGCGAGGACAGCTCCTGTGGTTTTCCTGCTCCCGTGCCATGCCCAGGCGTGCAGGGATGCCCCCACCATAGGCACACACACACGTTCCTCTCGCTTGGGCTCAGGCAGCAGGCAGGGCTAGCACTGCAGATGCTCTGTGGGTGACTGTCTTAATGCTGTCCCCATCCCAGAAGAGAGAGCAGAGGAGGCCGGCTGACAGGTGTCTCTGAGTCAGGGCTCCAACTAGGAAGGTCACAGAGGAGGCATCAGAAAACGCATCTCTGGGAATACGTAGGCTGGGATTGGCGTCTTTGCCTCTGGAACAGCATAGCAAGGCACTGCCTGCTCCTCCTCGGTTGTCATTGCTGCCTGAGCCATATCGCCTCCCAGGGAGGCAAAGGGAGGAAGTAGTGTATCTGCTAGTTGGGACTGGGTTTGGAGGACCACTGTGGCACATGCTAGAGTGCCTCCCCGCCCCGGCTTGCCCTCGTGATTACAGACTAGCTGTGTGATCTTGGGGAAGCTGCTTATTCTCTCTGCGCCTCAGTTCCCTCATCTACTACACGGGGACAATACTAGTTCCTCCCTGATGGAATGGTTTTGGAAATGGAAAGAGTTAATGGCTATAAAGGGCTTAGAAAAGTGCCTATTTCCAAGGCACTCTCACAGCCTTTTCTCATGGTGCCCTCATATAGCTCCATTGTGACCCCCTTTTACAGATGACAAAAATGAGGCTCAAGGGAGTGAAGCCACTTGTTCAAGGTCACTCAGCCAAGAGTGATAGAGCCTGACTAGCCACCTCCAGGCCTAGGTGCTCAGTTATGGTATCCGGGAGAATTGCCAGGATTGGTTTGGATTTGGCTGAGATTTCAGAATAAGTATGGGCCGGTTCCCTTGGGGAATTAAGAAGCTCACTATTCCCACCCCAAGAGATGTATTGATCTACGATGGCAACGAGGACCCCCACTGCTGTCCACTTGGATAAACACAGCCTCCAGCATTGTATAGGCCATGAATTGCACTGTGGTGGAAAGTGTCCTGAATCCAGGCCAGGCGGTGGCACTGAGAGGTCCTGTGACTTTGGGCACATGGTTTTGGTTTGTTGAGCTTAGTTTCCTCATCTGTAGAAGGAGGCAACAGCCTAGTCTTTGTGGTTCTGAGAATCTGCTGGACTCCCCTCAGACTCTTTCATCCCTGGGGAGGAGTCAGGGCACAGAATAAGCCTCCTGGAGGCCTCATCCAAGGCATGTAGTCACATGTAGAGACAGTGGGAGGAATCCAGCTTGGCCCTCACACTGGCTCTGTCTGGAAGTCACGGGCAGCACCTGGCCCTTCTCCCACGTACTCACATACCTCAGTCTTCCCATGTCCATATCTTCCTGTCCTCCAAACCCAGTCCAACCCACATCCCCCAGGAAGCCTGACCCTGCCAGAATAATCTTGAATTCCCCAGAGCTCTTCTCTCGGAGCTCAAATCCCCCTCCTGACTCTGAACATTGGTCTGTGTGTGATATTTGTGCAGCATTGCCCCTTGCTGCAGTCGAGCCAGAAAATAAATGAATGACCGGGCAGGGGTCTTCACTGTTGTTCGTTTACTCAGTGCTTTTGTTCACTGACTCAACAAACCTGGCTGTGAGCACATGTCACGTGCCAGGTTACACACTGGGGACTAAAGAAAGACGCCAAGAAGAGCAGCGTCCAGCCTCTGCCTTTGTGGGGCTCTCTATCCATGGGCAGAGGAAGAAGCAACTGAAGAGGTTATAAGAGCACATGGCCCAGGCTGTGGCAGAGTGTGAGCTCAGGGCAAGGGGCTTCGGGAAGCAGAGGGTGGGAAAAGGCACAGGGGCAGAGAGTATGATAAAATGGGCCGAAGTGAGGTTGAAGTGAGACAACACATGTGAAGGACACTGCGGTGTGGGGCAGAAGAAATGCTCATCCAGTGGTAGTTACTATTAGCATTAGGGTCTGTGTGAGACGCCTGCAGAGTCTGATTTCACCGGAGTGTGATGTGTGAGCGGTGTGGAGTGGGAAGCAGTGGTTGTAGGAGGTAAATCCAGAGAGGTCGGCGGAGCTAGGTCCCGACGTATCCACAGGGCAAACTGAGAAGTGATGACTTTCCATCCTCTAGGTCAAAAGTTGGCAAACTCATTCTGTCAAGGGCTGGATGATAAATAGTTTAAGGCTTTGCAGCCTGTGTGGTCTCAGTTGCAATATTCAGCTCTTCTGTAGTTGCATGAGAGCATCCGCAGACAACACAGGGAACAAATGGGCAAGGCTGAGTTCCAGTAAAACATTGTTTACTGAAATAGGCAGCAGGGAGGATTTGACCTGAGGGCCCCAGTCTGCCCACTCCAGCTCTAGGCGGTGAGGAGGCCTTGAAATCTTGTGAGCAGGAAGCAACCCTGATCAGGTTTGCAATTTGGGGAACAGACTGGGACAGACTGGCCTGGACTGGCTGGGAGGGAGGAAGGGGCAGGGGTGGGGGACACTGGTGGAAAGGGGACCCCAGGTATGGGGCACGAGGTCACCCTCGAACTCTGTGCTCTTTTCTGTCTCTCGCAGGCTCCCCATACTATTACAGCGCCGCTGCCCGAGGGGCTGCCCCACCTGCAGCCGCCACTGCCTATGACCGTCACTGACCCTCGGAGCCAGGCAGGCGCCAAGCACTTATAACACATATCACTGAGGGCGATAGCCTCTCAGCCCCTCTGAAGATGGCCAGAGGGGCCCAACGAGACCATCCCCCAGCACCCCCCACTCACCTGAAACTCCCTCCCAACCTTTTCCTGCCAGGGACTCTGGGGTTCCATGGTAAGGCTGTTGGACTTGTAGACATGCGTCCATTTCTAAGAGTCAATCAGTGAGCTTCTCCCGACAGCAGCTGGGTCTCTGCAAACCAACGGACTATTCTTCAGACAACTGTAGCCCCAGCCTAGCCTGCCAGTCCCCAGCTTTCTGACCATCCACCTGTCTTCCTGCCCCAGGCCTGGGAAGGAGAGCTTGCTTTTGTCACTTCAACAGCACCCATGTAAATACCTTCTTGCTTTTTTGTGGGCCTGAGGGTCCAGCTGAGCAGACAGCCCACCCATTATACATCCACTACTCCCGATGTGTCACAGGAAATCTTAGACCTGTGTGCAGAGTATCCCCTCTGTTCTGGCTGCCCCCCAAGGGTGGGCTTGGAGTTTTCCTTGAGACTAAGGATGCCCACCTCAGGGCCCAGCCTCCTGCTCATTGCTACTTCTTTAACGTCTGGACTAGGAGTCTCATTGGGCTAGTTATGCTTCAAGCTTCCCCCCTGAGAACCCTCCTCAGGAGAAACACACTCTGGAGAGATGCCCTGGCTTCCTGACTTCATTTCCCTGGGCCCAATGCAGTGTGAGCAGCTCTTTTCCATATCAAAGGACTCAAAGAGAACTGTCTGGGAGAGTCTTCAGCTACTACGCTAAAGTAAGATGCTGTCCAAGGTGCTGACTGCATTGCGGACTTTGAATGCTAGGGCTGGACAGGACCCAGGAGACCATAGTCCTAGGCGGGAACCCCAAGCCCCTGGAACCACTGAACTGAACTGGGACGTGTTTTCTGAGGAATTCCCAGGTTCATATCACACCGGACACCCACCATGGACATTTCTCCCACCCTCCAGGATGCCAGAGAGTGGATTCTGGGCAAGCCTGTCCCTGCCATGTAGACAATGATTAACAAAAAGGACTTTCCTGCACTAAGAACCACAAACACCTACAGAAGTCAGCCAGAACTTCCTGATCAACCCCTCCCCACCCTCGTGGAGCCTAGTGTGCAGCTGGGAATAGAGGTGCTGGGGTGGGAGCAGATGCCTAACCTTGCACAGTGGGTATGTACCTATTGATGCAAGGGGTTGTGATGGTCAGAGCCATGGCCAGTGGCCCCAGGAGCCTGGAGAGGGGAGCTTGGAGAACTCACTGTGGGCTGGTGAGATCAGAAAAACCCACCTGGGAGGATGCAGGGGACAGAGGAAGGCCTTCTGGGAAGATTAGGACAGGCAGTGAGGAACTGGTGTCTGAACTGGGAGTGGTTTTGAAATAGGGGTACCAGGGGCCACCATCTCTTCTCCCAGGGCCTCAATTCCTTGAATAGTTTCTTTTGTCAACTCAGAACAGCAAGGTGAGGCACTACCCGAATCTGGGCTGAATTACAGTGAGAACAATGGATGTTGCCATCTCATGCGACAGTGTCCCCAATGTTGGCACATCACCAAATTGGCAAAGAGCTGGGGTGGAGAGAGCCTGAACTTGACGTTATTGGGCCTGAGAGGTCTTGTCCTGGCCGTACCATTTCCTTGCTGTGGGACCTCAGACAAGACGTTCACCTCTCTGAGCCTCAGCTGCCTTGGTATAGCAGGGTCACCTGCAGGGTCATCCTACAGCTCTCTCCTTGCCTTCCTCTTTCCCAGGATGCTGGGGCTGTAACAGAGTCATCTGGGGCATGTCTTCCATTTCTGAGCAACCATACAGGGTGGGCACCCAAGTCCTGCTAATATTTGGACCAAATAGGAAATAAGAACACCCAGAAGCATGGGAATCAGCCTTGGGGAAGACCTAGTCCAACTTCCCTCAGGGGAAACTGAGGCCCCGTTTGGGGAAGCCCAGGACCATGCAGGGAGATAGAACAGACCTCCTCTGGCCACCACCAAGTGTTTTCTCCCCAACATCCTACGAGGCGGTAGGACAGAAGAGGAAACTGAGGCTCAACAAGGTGGAGTCCCCAAGCAGTGACTGGCAGAGGTGGAGCTGGCATTCAGCCCCCTGACCCCAGGAACAAGGTGATCCTCCCATCCTTGGGGAGGGCAGTTGAGAGTGAGGGCAGTGGGAGGTTGCTCTGGGTCCACTGCCACAGATGGAGTGTCCTGGGCTGTTAGCACTGCTGAGGGAGCCCAGCACCCAGGGCAGAAGTGGAGCCAGTGAGCTCACTGCAGGCACACCCACCATCTTGGAACCTTCTGGGCAAAGAAAGGAGGCAGCTGGGGCAGAGCCCACCTCTGAAAACAGGATGAACGAGCTCCAGCCTCTACCTGCCAGACAAGGTAGGAGAAGGTATGTTAGCTGGCCTCTCCTTTCCTCCTTCCCTTCCTCCCTCCCTTCTTAGGAAGTGATGGGGTCAGGCCTTTGACCTCTTGCATCCTCATCTTTGGATCCTTGTCGCTCCTTGTGGTCTCAGGCTGTTGGGAGGTCAGCCTTCCCTGAACCAACAGCCTGAAGCACACACTAAAGCCCATCTGGCCCCATACTGTTCTTTCTCCTTGCCCTGTGATGAGCTCCCTCCATGCCTTTCCTCTCTGAAGCTCTGCTGGTCTTCAGATCACATTGGTATTTATTAGACAAGCACTTGATTCCTGGACTGCCAGGCAGAAGCACAAGAGCACATGGACGCACACGCATGTTCTCACACATGTACCTGCTCTCCCCAGCTCAGAGTTCCCGCGCTGGTTGAGCTGCCCGGGAGCTCAGAGAGAACGGTTCTGCAGGACACAAGCCGTTGAGTAAATGCCAGAGAATTCTGAATGAAAAACACAAGGTCGGGGCTTTCACCAGCATCGTGGCTGGAGGCCTAGGGACCTTCAGCCCTATGTTCCAGCTCTGACTTTTGGAAAAGGACCTTGTGAATTTTATGAAAAAGTTTCATACCATTAGTCTAGCTCCAGCCTTGAAAATTTGATGACATATCAAATCCAACATCCCTTTCCCAAGGCGCCTTAGTTAGGGTTAGCCTTTTCATAACTGACATTCGTATGGTGCTTTGCCATCCTTGACCATTCTCTGGGGCAAAGATCACAATGCCCATTTTACAAATGGGAAAACTGAGATTTGGGGCTTGCACAGTAAGACAGAGCTGAAGTGAATTCTCAGATCTCCGGGCCCCGTTCACCCTCCACAGAATTGCGCTCCTGTCATGGGAGCCTATGACTTAGACACACCCTTCAATCCCTTAGAAACCCCCTAGACCCACAATGAGGAAAGAAAGAACAGGGACTCAGAGGCTGGCCTGACCAAAGGCCCTGCAGGCTGGTAGTTTTGCTGGTCTGACTTGATTCCCATTAACACCAAGACCTACAAAGTCTTTGCCCAGATTCACTCACATCAGTGCTTCTGAGGTTTCGTCAGACTCCTTCCCTGCTGTGTCCCGAGACTCCGGTGGGATCGGATCTTGTCCAGGACTGTACCATCAGCCCTGGCAGGGCCTGGACATGGCCCAGATCTGACCCCTGGGGTCTAAGTTTCCAGTGGCATGAGATGTCTGTCGTGAGATGTTATGAGATGTCCCTCACTCTTTTCTTTACCTATCCCGCTGTGGTTCAGACTCTAGGCCTGGCTGTGACAATATGCAGGAGTCCCCTAGCAGGCCCATTAGGGTACTCACAGGCCTGGGAAACACAGATCACAATCTCAAGGGCCCCAAACTGCTACTTTCCAGGTCAGGCAGGTGGAGTAATCTTGCCACTCAGGCAGGGCATGAGGCCGCATGGGGTGGTGGGACCTAAGACAACCCGGTTGCTTACCCCACTCAATGGCATTCAAATGTGAAAGCTTTTAAAATGCTCTTCCGGCCAAAAAATATGGGCGAAATTTGACCCACTCACTGGCAACTAGCTTTGTGACTGTCAGCACAGAGCCCAGTGTGGGGCTCGAACTCATGAACCACAAGATCATGACCTGAGCCAAAACCAAGAGTCAGACGCTTAATCGACCAAACCACCCAGGTGCCCCTGTGGCCCTCAATTTTTGTCCAGTGCTCCCTTTCTTCTTCACCTCCTTTTTTTTTTTAAGTGTATTTGTTTTGAGAGAGAGAGAGAGAGACAGTGAGCAAGGGAGGGGCAGAGAGAGAGAGGGACAGAGGATCTGAAGCAGACTCTGTGCTGACAGCAGAGAGCCCGATGAAGAGCCTCAAACCCACAAACCGTGAGATCATGACCTGAGCCAAAGGTGGACACTTAACCAACTGAGCCCCCAGGCGCCCCTGTTCTCCACCTCCTTGCTCTTCATTGAAGATTTGGGAGGAGATGGGTGCCCAGAGAGATGGAAGATGCGGTTCAGATTGGCCAGTCGCTGTCAGGAACAGGCACCCCAGTCCTTTCCACCTCCCTCCTTACCTGGGTTCTTGCAGGCCGTTTGGGCTTTGAAGGTGGGTGCGGTAGAACAGTTGGAGGTGGTGGGGGGTGGAGGGATTGTTGGTTTTGAGAGGAGGTCAGTGCTGCTGGGGCGTTTCCTCTGTGCAGGGAAGAGCCCCAGATGTGGCCACAGGGCACTGAGGGGTGAAATCCCTTTATGAGAAGTCACATCCCAGAGCAATTTGCCCTGCCTTTTGCAGCCTCTGACACCAGCTACCCCCTTCTGGATGACATTTCAGCTAGAATTTAGCTCCAAGCTATGGGGAGCAAATCTTAAAAACAAACCAAGCACTCCTGACAAATACCTAGAAACAAGATATGTCTGAGACACAGCTGCCCCGAGGGTAGAGAAAAATCCAGGTCCCTGGATAGGCCAGGCCCAGGCTGGTGTGGGTGGATCCCATAGCACTCAGCTAGACCAGCTCCTCGGTGGCCCCACTAAGAACCTGGCTCTGCAGCCTTGGCCTTGTCACCCATCTAGGAGCCTGTCTCTGATGGTTTCCAGGCACGCACATCGGTGCTCCTGGAGAATTTATTCCTTTACTTTTTTTGGCCTCAGAGAGGTCCAAGGCAAGTGCATTTCTTAAAAGGTAACAAAACACATTATTGGAAAATTGGACAGTCAGGCCATGACTCCTAGCCTGCAGTCTGCCCCACCTCCCAGCAGCCCCTTCAGCCCCTTGTCCCCTGATGTCCCCTTACCTCAGGATTCCCTCTTGCATATTCATGGTGGAGCCATGGTGTTGATCTGCACTTCCCCACTGTCAGCTCATGGCTGCACCTCCAGAGTGGCGGCCAGGTCCCGAGGGGCTGTGGGGAGGACTGGAAGCAAGTCCCTAGCCTGCCCGCTCTCCTGAGGAGGGGTCTGCAGTGTCTCTGACATGGGCTGCTGCCAGGAGCAGGCAGGCACCAGACTTTCTTTCATTCACTGTAATTTCTCAACACTGGGGTCCCGTTCCTGGACCAC